AAAACTTTCTTTTCTAAGCCATTTGTTTCCAAATTATGATGGACACTGATGGTTGTTCATCTTTTCCTTTCTCTTTGTAGAGACTGCATTTAAGAAAGCCATGTGTATCTCAGGTCAGTCTACGAAGGTCAGAATAGAAATTTGCTGTGGCATCTCAGGTTTGTCAGCTGCCTGCAGTTGAGATGTAGAAACAGGACAATGAGCCAAACTGAAAATAACAAGTAAGATTTTATTGATTTATTGTGACAGAGCAAGCAAGGGGCAAAAAGTTCAGCTTTCTTTCTAGTATTGTATTTTTCCTCCATGAAACAACACGGAGCAAGGGCCAAATAGACCAGTGTGTATATGGGAGAACTGTATCATGGCTGAAGAAACTTGAAAAGAAGATTCTTGTTTTTTAAAGAAATCTAGGAGCTAGGGAGGTGGAGAAGAAGGAAGTCTAGGAGTGGAACACATTAGTCAATGTGGAGAAAAGTACCTTAGCTAAGGCGTCTGATAAAAGAGGCCACTGAATGGAGTTGCCTCGTCTAGGCATGCAGACATGCATAGGTATATGGCTGCCTGGGTGCCAGTAGGAGGCTGCACCCCAGTTCATAACTGCAACTCTCCAGAAAATTGGAATGTACTGGCTGTATGACAGGTCATGTATGGAGAGCTTTCTTCCATCAAGCCTTCCAGGAAGAGTCTTGTAGTTGTCTATGATTGGGTCTGGATGATTGCATACATAATTTTGGTTTAGAGCTGCACTGCACATTAAATGACATCTTATCTCCTTCCTCCTCCTATGTAGGAATGTGACATTATGGTGGAGGTGTGACAGCCAACCTGAGTCTATGAAGTACAATACCAAAAGACTTCAGGGACTTTAGAAGTTACTAAACCTGATCCAACTGCTGCATGTCTCTGACTTTCCCATTCTATGAGAAGAAATGAATTCCTAATATTTGTTAAAGAAAAATTTTGGGAGGCCATAGTTTGTTCTGTGAATTTTCCTTGGGTCCAAAAGAACAAATCATAGTGTTTAAATAGCAGTAAATAAGTTTTGGCTGATTGCAGAAGGTCCTGTAACCAGTCAGCTGGTTAAGCTATAAACAACTAATTTGTTAAGCTATAATCAATCGACTGGTTCAGTGGGCTGTGGCCAATTAAGTACTTTTGTGTGTCTTTCTTCTATTTTGCTATAAATGCTGTCCAACCACATTGTTGGAGTTTTCAGAACCTTTTTGGATGCTGCTAGATTTGTGATTTGATTTTGTTTTTCTTTGCTTAAACTAGTGAGTTGAATTAGTATAAGGAATTTTCCTGCTCAAGAATTCAAGCCATCACAAACATGTTTTCTCTTCCTAGCAGCTTAACAGAATCCTAATTGACATACCATTTAGACATGGGCTCATTTCCCTTGTTACATACTTGATATGTTCTAAGGTATATATGGTGTTTGGTGCTCAAGAGCACCAATACCAACCATCCTCTTCTATCCCAGTGCTCCTCTATAATCTGGGTGCACTTCAAAGTTGATAAGCATGTTTGGAAGCTTTTAGGTATTTTTCCATAACCATGGCAAAAGACACAGAGACCAAGGCATTCTTATTTTATAATTTAATATTCAAGAAGAGTGATATTGAATAAAACTCAGCTTTAAAAACTGTCGTCAAGTGTCTTGAAATTAAAGATCTTAGTCCAGGTCCCTAGTAGTTGGCTCTGATCAAACAAAGCACAGGCAAGGGTCATTTTCCACTGTAATATCCAATATTACTCTTCACGATGTGCTTAGATGCTTTTCTATTTGTTGCTTATAACTGGATGTAAAGAAATGCCTAAAATTATACATACAATGATTATAGTAATGAATATCTTCTGATTCCTCTAAATTATTCCATACAAATGTAGGCGAATTTTCTCCTTGGTAACAGGCAGTTCTGCATTTCTTTGAACAACATTTGCAGGAAAAACATCAGGGTTTCAGGCACAGATCTGGCTTTATTGATCACTACCTATAAGCTTCATCAGTTTGTGACTAAATCTTTTGAGAACCTTGAAAATGTTGCTTTTATTGATTTCCCTTGGCTTATGCACGGAAATTGATCCTGCATAGGTATGCGTTCCTGGCTCCTGATACTTATACGGAACATGGAGCTTGTATCCTAACATTACAGCAAGAATCCAGATCTTGTAGATTAAACAATTTTAGGAAAGAATAATTAAAATGCATCCTGTATTCTCTTTTTTAATGTGTATCTTAATGTAATGACAATATTATTCTTGGATAAATCAAATTCATGCTTACCTATTAAAGAGAAGACACAGATAAGCATTTACTCAAATGTTGATAATGGAACTTTATTTTCTCAAGTTGAGTAGTCTCCATGGATAATGGCCCTATGATCTAATTATTTTAAATAAGTTTCTTCTAAACCTAAATCATCAGTTTTGGCAAAGGTCCACTAGCATCTATTGTCCCAGATCTAAAAACCCTATGCAGAAGGGTTAATTCACAGCCTATAGGTTGTATTTTACCACTAGTTCATGTTGAAAGGTTCATTAGTAGCTAATATTAATTGACAGTCTGTATTATATGGGGAGTATATTGAGCTTTTTAATATTTGCTTACATATTATTCAGGTTGTAATTACGATAGAAATGTTTCATATCCTAGAATAATTCTGACTGTGATGATAATAGAAGCTAAAACCTATTGAATATTTGCTGTGCAAAGCCATGTACCAAGAAAGAATAATAATTTACCCTTTATTTCTCACCACAATCTAACAATGTAGGTAGAATTTGTTATTATAAATTATAGTAATCTCTATACTCTTTTTCTTTTCTTCTCTTCCTTCTTTCTTCTCCTACTTTTTTGATGGATATTGAATGTAGGACCTCATGCATGCTAGGTTAGTGCTCTACCACTAAATCACAACCCTAGGCCCTATATTATTTTCTGAGGGATACCTTATCTGTATCTGCAAATATATTACCTTAACTCTTTTTGAGTTTTATAACAAAATTCTTAACCTGCTCTTTACTTACACATGCCTTTAACTAATGACTTAGAATTAAGTAGACTTCAACTCTCTTATAGTTCCATTACTGTAACAAAATATCTGAAACAATCTTACAAAAAGGAAAGGTTTGGAATTGGCTCACAGTTTGAGAGGTTTCAATCCATTGACAGCTGGCCAATTGCTTTGGGCTTTTGACGTGTAGTATGTATGGTGATGCGTGCGGCAGAGGAAGCTGCTAATTTCATGGATGCTAGGAAATGAAAGGAAGAGTCCAGAACCCTATTGTCTCTTTGAGAACATGTCCCTTGTGACCTAAGACCTCCTAAATGTGGGCGTTTGTGAGACATTTCACATCCAAACTTGACAATTACATAGTCATGACTATCGGCTAGCCCAAAGTTCCACCTCTCCTGAGTTAGTTTCTCTAGTGATCTTTTCTGAGTAAAATTAACAGCATAAATCAAGTTTGCTTCAAGAGACCTGTCTTAGTTACTTTTCTCTCATTGCTGAGACAAAATATCCAACACCCAAAGTTAAAGAGAGGACAAGTTTATTTAGCTCACAGTTTTTAGAGGTTTCAACTCATAATTTGCTATCTACAAGGCAGGGTGGCATAGTGGAGGGGCAACAGTGAAGATATGTATTTATATAGGTTATCTCAAATCTTTTTTGAAATGAGGCACAGAATTTATGTATGTGTTTAATTATATGAAAAGTATAACTTATATATATATATATATATATACTATACATATATATAGTGTGAGTGTGTGTGTGTGTGTGTGTGTGTGTGTGTGTGTGTGTAATTACCAAACAATTGTTATAGGGACTTTTACCTAAAGGTTACCTTAGAAATCATTTGGCTTTACACCCTCATTTTATGGGTGAAGAAATAAGCTAAGAGAAGGAAAATTCCTCATTTAATTTGCTTATTACAAAGTTCAACTGTAATTCAGGGTTTAAAAATTTGTATTTAATATTCTAATTGGCTCACAATTTCAAGTTTTTCCTTTAACACCAGTAAGTAACGAATTTATTACCTCATACTTTTTTTTCTGACTTACTGTGCCTAGAAACCATAGTCTGTTCTCAGGAGTCAGATGTGGAACAGGAATCTCAAAGTTTAACAGAATTTTTGATTTACTCTTGTTAAACCTATTTCTCTCTAGGTCTTCCCAATCCCAGTAGAGCATCAGCTTTGGTGCAGAAGCTCTAAGGAAAAGTCTACAAGTCACCTTGATTTCCCTCTTGTCTTCATCTTGCATACTGAATTAATAGCAAGTCCTTTGTCTACAGTTTAGAGCACTCCACATTTATATCTTTCACTTCCCATCCAGCATGCCTACCGCTCCCTTTCTTCTTTCAATCCATTCTCATGCAGTAGCCAAAGGTTTCCTTTCACAGTGTAAAACAGTTTATCAGACTTCTAAAGCTTAAAATTTTCTTTTGATCTTCCCTTTCAACGAGATAAAATCCAAGCCTGTTGGGGTCAGCAAGAACCTACACAGGTAGACTGTTCTCCAGCATTTTGTACTGCAACACTGTGTGCTTTGTGCTTGCTGATTTATACCACCTTGGAAATCCTTAATACAACATAGTAGGTGCCCAATATGTAGTTGCTGAGTAAATAAATACTTATCTATTGTCTCCTAGAGGTGGTAAACTTCTTAAAGGAAAGCATTGTAGTTTAGTTTTAGTATTTGTGACTAGAGTTGCTAGCAGCATAGAGTAGGATATCACTGTTTTATTGAACTAAATTTGGCTTCTGTCATTTATTATCAGTGTAAGAACATGGGAAAATTTCTTAACTGCTTTGAGCCTCATTTGTAATGTCTGTTTCTCAGAGTTGTCCAGATAAACAGAGGTCAATGGATATAATATTTTACCAACATAAGTGATTGCTATTTTTATCACTTTTCAGCTGCATATGCCAACAGTTTTATGCAATGGTGTATCCTAAATAATGACAAATGTGTTCCTTACTACTTCTCACAGGACTAATGTTGGGCGCAGGTGCTCATACCCCACCCGGGACTAAGGACCATGCCAGCTTCTGCAATGTGCTACGTCCCTCTCCAAATTAGCCACCCTGTGCTCACTTCGTATTCACCACAGCTGAGTACATTAGCCAGAGCCCGCGTCTCATTCCAGCCCTTCCTCCTCGTGCCAGCCCTCGTGGCAGCCTGATTGGCTACAGTCAGATATATAAGCCAGAACCCGCAACAATAAAGTTGACAGTTCCTGTTACCCACCTGAAGCGTCACCTGTCTCATTGGGGGGCTGCGCCGGTCAACTGGTGGCCCGTACGGGGAACGCTGAGACCCTCTCTCCGACAGTATGGGGAACCAACCTCTCTCTCTCCGATAGAACAGAGCGTCTACAGGTAAAACCGTCAAGTGCCAAGAGCGGGGGCTACTCGTCGGGCGGGGGCTGACAAGTTAAACTGTTCAACAGGCAGAGAGTGCTGCCGGGCCGGATATCGGGGGCTATCGGGCAACCTTGGGCGGACGCGTTGCAAGGGATTGAGGAGCTCGTAAAGAGAGTTCCGGGAGCCGTAAAAAGGCGGGATTGAGGAATTCGTAAAGAGAGTTCCGGGAGCCATAAAAAGGCGGGATTGAGGAGCTCGTAAAGAGAGTTCCGGGGGCCGTAAAGAGGCCGGTTTTGGGGGCGCTGTAAAGGGGCGTGGGGACTAAGCTGTCCCTGTTACAAAAAAAAAAAAAAAAAAAAAAAAAGGAAAAAGGAAACAAAAAGAAATAAAAAGAAACAAAAACAAATTCGAAACTTCCTCGATCAGGTCAATAAGGTAGCACCTTGGTTTGGTCCCACGGGGTCTGTTACCATTCCCAGCTGGGATAAATTAGGGAGAGATCTTGACTTTGCAGCAGAAAATGGCCTCCTGGAGCCAGGAGTCAGACCCTTTTGGGCAGTAGTGAGGAGCTGCCTCGAAGATGCCTCTTGTTGTGACCATATAAGGGCTAGCGCCATGGCGCTTGGTCACCATCAGGCAGAATCCTCCCGCGAGCAATCTCCCAAGCCCAGTGTCACAGGCGAGGTGACTGTATCCAGCCCAGAAAGAGAGGACTTGTCAGAAAATGAGGGGGAGGAAGAAGAAGTACACAAAATGATGGATGTAGACACCACCGAAAGAGGGGAAGTCACACACACGCAGTCGAGAGGGCCCTACTCTGAGGCCATAAATGAGCTGCAACACATGATTTCTCAGAGTAAATGGGTCAATGAAAGCGAGTATGGGGCCCCAGGGCCACCCCATATAAGACCTACGGCTCTACCTCCCGACCCACCAGATTATCATGTTTACCCGAGACCCTGCCATCAGCTATGTAGCTGCCCGCAACGGGTCCAGACGTCCCTTGGGACATTCCAGGAAGACCTATGGCATCAAGTCATATTAGGACAAGGGCAGTATCTCAATAACCAGCTGATATTTCTACAAGAGGTGTACGCACAGATAAATAGAATAGCCATACAAGCATGGAAACGGGTCTCAGCTAGGGGAGAAGTCTCAGGCCACTTGACAAAAATTTTGCAGGACCCGAGCGAGCCTTTTTCAGATTTTGTGGCCCGCATGATGGAGGCGGCAGGGAGAATTTTTGGGGATGCTGAGACAGCCATACCACTCATTAAGCAGCTCATTTTTGAGCAATGTACTAAAGAATGTCGCTCTGCCATTAGTCCATACAAAAATAGGCCTCTTGAGGCATGGGTGAAACTCTGTCAGGAGATCTGGGGGCCATTAACCAACTCAGGTTTGGCGGCCATGTTAATGAAGCTAACTAAAGAAGGTCAGGGAGGCAGAGTGGTGCCACAGAATGGCGCCCGCCCGAAAGAAGGCTGCTTTAAATGTGGCAGACAGGGACATATTAAAAGAGACTGCCCATTTTGGGGACCCGGAAGAGAACATCTCCCTTAGGGGCAGCCTTAGGGGCAGGAGACCGCATCACTCAGATGCTAGTTTTACCCAGCCGTCATGGGGACTATCCATCATTGTCTGGTATTAGAGGAGACAGAGGAAAGTTAGGCCATATCCAACCCTCAGACATGGAATTCCCTATAATTCTCAGGGCCAAGGCATAGTTGAGCGTGCTCATCAAACCCTCAAGTCTATTCTGTTTAAACAAAAGGAGGATATTGCCCAGGGCATGACACCTAGGGCCAGACTCCAACTCCCCTGGTTAGTAGCCTCCTTTTCCCCTCCTTCTTGTATCTCGTATGGCCCTTGCAGCCAATGACTTTTCTAAATTGCTCCACCCCAACCTGTTATGTGTTACAATGTTGGGATAACAGTGCACTTTCAGCTGTCGTTGTGCAGGTACTCCAGTTCGTACCGGTTCCGGTTGTGGTGGACCCAGACGAGTTTCCTGTGATCCAGCTTGGGCCAACTCTCCAGTTGTCTTTCATAAAGGAATGGGTGGGAATGGGGTCTCTGGCTGCCATGACTGCACTTGCCGCATTCGGCAGTTTACTTCTGCTCTGTCGGATTCGAAGGCAGGGGAATAGGGACAAAGTGATCATCAAACAGGCATTGCTGACCGTGGAATCTGGTCAAGGCCCGGCAGCATGGCTCGCCATGCTGTGACGCAGGTGTGGAGTGGAGCATCGCGGGGGGTGTCGTCCTTGGCCAGGAGACACCCCGGTCCCCATGTCAGCGAGCATGTGGGTTGGGCTCATAAAACAGATTTCCCGCCCCCTCCAGGAGAGCACCGACGGGTGGTGAGGCACTGTCATGACGGCCGCATGGCACCTCATGGGGGGCGCCAACCTCTGGAGACCCTGCGTCAGTTATAAAGAAAGGGGGAGATGTTGGGCGCAGGTGCTCAACATACCATACCCCACCTGGGACTAAAGACCACGCCAGCTTCCGCAATGCGCTACGTCCCTCTCCAAATTAGCCACCCCGTGCTCACTTCGTATTCACCATAGCTGAGTATATTAGCCAGAGCCCGCGTCTCATTCCAGCCCTTCCTCCTCGTGCCAGCCCTCGTGGCAGCCTGATTGGCTACAGTCAGATATATAAGCCAGAACCCGCAACAATAAAGTTGACAGTTCCTGTTACCCACCTGAAGCGTCGCCTGTCTCATTGGGGGGCTGCGCCGGTCAGACTGAGATGTCTTATGATACATTCTCAAGCGGTTAGGAGGATGTTATAATAACTGTTACTTCTTTACTGTTTATATTAATGTAAATCTACTTGGTAATTTAGAGTTGCCTATAGACATATTGCTATTGACAAACACATAGTTCTTGTGGGTACTCATATAAATGCGGACAAGTGCTAAAGACAGAGAAATATTCATTCTTTGAATCCTCCCAATTTGACCTTTCTATCTCTGTACCAACTTAGGGAATATAAATATAGTGTAACTCCCCCTGCCAACTTACTACAAGTATTTTTTGTCCAAAATGCCTAGAAGTGTTTCAATTTTATGTTTTTCCAGAATATCTAAACATATACATCTATCTATCTATCTATCTATCTATCTATCATCATCATCATCTATCTACCTTCTATCTTGTGAATGGCAATCAAGTCTAAACACAAAATTCATTTTATGTTTTGTGTATATCTTAAATGTAGCATGAAGGTAATTTTATATAATACAGTAAATAATGTTGTATATGAAATGGTTTTATAGTTCAGAATTTTCCACTTGTGGCACCATATAGTTGCTTAAAAAATTTCAGAATTTTGGACTTTTTGGTTAAGGAATGTTTAACATATACATTCAGAATTATTACTAACAGATTAATATTTTGGACTCAAATGTAAGCAACTGATTTATCTCATTTTCCTATTATTGTGTCTTATAAGCACTGATTGATTTGACTAAATTGCTTATGTGTCCTAAGCTCACACATACTAGAACAAACACATGTGAAATTTTTGTTTTGATAGGTAAAAATGCTTAAATGTTAGTAAATTTATGTAGGAAGACCTAATAACAATAGCTAATGATAGCTAACATTTATTACATGTAACATAAATTAATTAGAGTGTTTATTCAAATTAATACAAAGCAAAGCACTTATAAGAACATGAAGGATAAAAAGATGTACAGTATGACACTATTCAAAATGATGTTCATGGATGGTTTAACTTAATCCTTACAAATATTTTTGATGCAGTTGTTTTGCTCCTTTTTTTAAATTAGTAAAATAGAGTATATAGAGATTAAGCAAATTGCCCAAGCTGAAATAGTGAAAATGGATGTCAAGACAAGACTCTAAACTGTATTTCCCAGCTTATTTGCTTAATCACTAGGCTATACTGCCCCATACCTTCCAGACCATTTTCATTTTGACTTTATTAAAAATTTGCTTGTTTTTATCACTTTGGAAAACCTCATCCAGGGCAAAATTCTTGGCAGTAAGTTTTCAATGAAACATTTGTTTAATGATGTTATAGTAAACATGATCTAGGACTGTCTGCACAGGTGTGTATCCTACAGTGTTGAGGAATTATAATCTCAATACTTTAGAAGATGTGGCAGGAGGATTGCAAGTTTGAGCTCAGACTGGGAGAATTAGTGAGACCTTGTTTCAAAATAAAATATTAAACTATGTGAAGGCTCTGGGTTAGTGCTAAGTGACACCTCTATCTCTCAAAAAAAAAAAAAGGAGGAGGAGGTAGTGGGGAAGAGCTGAATAGATTAAGAGAATTTTTTTGTGCAGTGTAAATATTCTGCTGACTGTAATGGTAGATACATCCTATTAAACATTTGTTGAAATCTGCAGAATGCAAAAATTGAGAATGAATCCTAATATAAACTATGGTTTCTGGGTAATTATGTTGTGTCATTATTGATTCATCAGTTTTAATAGATGTAGTAGTTTTTTTAATTTAAAGACAAAAAACAAAATAGAAAAAGAGAAATAATACAGAATTTCAAAAAAAATATTACAGTAAGAAATCACTAGTTGATAAATTGCATATTGTCATCTTAAGAATAGCTGTTCAAGTTACAAAATTAAAGTATAAAAAATGGACACTCAAATGCAAACCATTCTGTTCAATGATCTAATGGAAACTTAGTAATATAGTCATCTACCTTACACACTTAAACATCCATATAGTTATATCCTTTAGAGCACTTTTTAAAAAATTGTATTTAAAGAAAGACTAAACAAAACAGAAAATGGGTAGAAATAATACATACGTTCAAAGAAAAAATAAACAGTAAGAAATCGCCAGTTGATGTTTACATTCTGTCCTCTTAGAAATAGTTGTTCAAGATATGAAAGTGGTAAATATAAAGTGAGAATTCAAACAGTGAGACTGCAAACAGTTCTGTTCTACTATCCAACAAAAACTTAGTAATGTGGCTATCAATCTTATACATTTAAACATATATACAGTATCAATATCTTCATTTATGTTTATTTATTTTTCTTTTTAAAAAATTTTATTTAAGGAGAAAAGGAAAAAAAAGCAGAGAAAGGGTACAAGTTATACAGATTTACAGAAAAAAAATAAATAGTAGGAAATCACTAGTTAATGGATTACATATTGTCATCTTAGAAATAATTGTTCAAGTCACAAAATTAAAGCTTGTAAAGTGGACATTCCAACAATGATACTGCAAACAGTTCTGTTCAATGATCCAATAAAACTCTGTGATATCATTTCCTATCTTATACACTTAAATATACATGCAGTTATATAGTTTAGAACACTTTCTTTTCCTCTCTTTTGTACAATGACTATTACACATTTTGGGTTTCATTGCTCCCATGGTTCTTATTACTTTTTTGGAAGAGAGTAAAACCAAATGTGACATAACAGAACATAATCGGTCAAGTCAAAAGGATGGACATAATAGATAATGTAAAAACATAATACAAGGTGATCAACAATGATTACCATAATGCCTCCCGCTATCTCTAATAGAATTGCCTATATCCTTAGTTATAATACGATTGAACAAAACAGTAAAGAATAAAACCGACAAAACCAAAACATTGGAGACATTGTAGGTCTTCAAAAAGTAGGTAAAAGTCAACGAGAATGGGCATTATAATGAATCTCATTATCTTCACAGCTGATGCCTAAACTTTCGAACCTGATACTATCCAGCAAAACAGAATAGTGGAACATCAGTCAAAAACAAGATGGTGAGAGTAATACAGGGCTTTAAATCAAGATAATGGAAAGTCAAAGCGGGTTACTATAATATATGCTGCTATTTTTTGTTTATTTTTCCCTTAATTAAAAGGATAAAAATAAAAAAGTAAATAATGAAGTGGAGATTGAGATAAAAGAGGGCATAACAGCAAAACAGCGCAGATCAAAACATAACCATTTAAGCAGAATAGTGTTTCGCCACAAGATAATCCTGACATAAAAGTAGTTACCATATTGTCTCTTTCCTTAAAATCTTTGAGTATAACTCCGTATACTGTAGCATCAAATATATCAAAACAATGTAAAACCATTTAAGCGAATGACAGCATTACAGCATATTCGGAATCAACTAACAGAAAATGAACAATGGTTTCTGTATAATCTCCTTGTCTTTAAAAGTTTTTGCTTATACTATCCTACATAATAAAATCCAATAAGATACAACCTGTTTAGACCAATGGAGACAGAAGAACAAAAGCTTGATGAGACTTCAAAACAAGATGATACTAAATCAGTATTACCTATTAAGACGTCATTTTCTCCAAAATAGCTGTTCCTATCATCCAATCTTCTCTACCTCATTTCTGTTGAGCTCTTTTTCTGTCATTAGTTGTCAGTTTGTCTTCTTCATTTTGTTCTCTGCTCCATTCATTGTGGCCTCCCCGCCACTATTTCTGGATTCTTTGTATTTTTCTTTTTTTAGAATATCCTGCAATACTCTCTGTAGAGTTGAATTTGTGGTTGCAAATTCCCCCAGTTCCTCTTTATCCTGGAAGCACCTTGTTTTTCCATCAATTTCCAGGGATAGTTGTGCAGGATATCTCAATCTTGGCTGGAGATTATTATCTTTCAAAGCTTGAATTATTTCCCCCCACGCTCTTCGTGATTTGATGGTTTGTGCAGAGAAATCTGCTGTAATTCTGATGGGTGTTCCCTTGTAAGTGGTCTGTTTCTTATCTCTGACAGCTTTTAATATTCTGTTCTTGTATTGAATTTCTGGAATTTTTATTATTGTATGCCTGGGTGTTGCTCTGTTTGGGTTGTAGGTAGCTGGGGTCCTGTATGCCTCATACATCTGAGTATCTTTACCTTTTGCTAAATTAGGAAAATTCTCCTGGATTATTTCTGTGAGTAGCTTTTGTAGTTCACTTGTTTGTGTCCCTACTTCTTCTTTTATGTTCTTAATCCTTAAGTTATG